ATATAAGTTCTGTACGATGAAGTAGTGGAATACTCAATGGGTTTTAACAATCTTTGGGCCTAATCCGGATGGACTTAAAAAAATAACAAAAAAACACACAAACAACAAAAGAAATTGAAAAAAATGGATCAAAACACCGATTTTTTAAGAAAAAGTTAAGAACACAAAAAAATTTAAAAACACAAAAACGATCAAATCTTGAAATAGAATGATCAAATCACAAAAGTTTGTGAATAACAAAGATTCACAATTCAATTCCGAGCATTTTGATCACGATTTAAACTAAAAAACACAAGATTTTTAAAAAAATGGATCTAACTTAAAGAAAAAAATAGGAATACGAAGAACAAACAAATTTTTTTTCAGAAAATAATCTTCAAAATCTGATTTATTCTTCTGATCTCTTGCACACATTGCTTTGATACCAACTGTGTGTCCCTCTTCAATGATCAATCTTCATACATCTTCATAACAATGGCAGATCTATGATTTATCTTCAAGAACACAAGATATACTTTGAGAGAGAAAGTCAAACATTCAATACTCAGTCAAACTCTCTATTACGTAATGTGTTTTACAAATGAGCTCTCTTTCTTAGAATTACAAAGACTTACCCTATTTATAGGGTCAAACATCTAAACACAAGTCAAAGTCAAACCTGCCTAAGAAAAGTCAAACACGATGACTTTTACAATTATAGACAATATTTAACTTTCAAGACAAATGCAATTTTATACTGATTTTCAATCCTAACAAGTTTTGAGTTGTATCATCAAGGGGGAGCTCATCATCATTTCATACATATCTGATCCATCATCATTATCAGGTATATCTTTCTTAACTTTTTCTGAATATGCATAGAAGAAGGACAACTTCTATGTGTATAAAATTGTTTTCTAGAATGTTCAAACCACTTCTTTGATCTTTAATGTTTTTCATTTCTAATAACTACAATTTTAAATGATTTTTATTTTTATTTTTTGGAACGAGTATCATCTCTGAACGGGTATTTCCTTGAGACTACACTTGTGTATTTTTCTCTTCAACCATAACTCCAATACTTGATTCAGTTGTTCTTCAAACCATTATTATCACGTCTCTAAAATGAAAAATCATTTTCGGTGATAATACACTCATTAGTATTCAACTTTGTTTTCTGAGCTTATTTTGTAAATAATTCTTTCATTGATACACATTTCTTAATTCTTTGAATCTTTATATGTAAATTTGTTCTTATAGATCTTCGTTCATTTCTCCCTATTTTTCTTGAATAATCTGTTTTGTATATCATTCCTGTTTAATTGGTCATGTGATTAATTGCTACATTTTTTTTTGATTAATTTTCATCTAATCAAATGTGCATTATCGCAATAAAATTTTTGATCAATTGTTTGTGATCAAATGAGCTTACATATTTTTTAGGATAGACTGAGAGCTTAGCAAAAATACCACTATGGACTGTCAGAATTGAAAGACCTACCTAAGAGGACAACCATATCTGAGTGAGCTTAAATGCAAAATAGGTTTGTGTGCTGAGCTTAAATGAAAATGAGAGGGGTAGTTAGTATGAGCTAAAAGAATTGATAAGTGTTGTGATCAGAATTAAAAGATTAAAAGAATCTTGTTCTATCTACTATAATTTGGGCAACCACACAATCTATTAGTTCTCATCTCTTTTGAGGCTAATATTGAAAAAGGCAAAGTTCAGGCCAACCCTTACCATAACCCCACCAGATACTCATTTATCTCTCAAAAGATAAGTGTTTCATTAACACTTGGGGCACCCAGCTTATTATCTATCGATTTCTCATTTGAAGATAATTGATATGGAAAAAGAAGGATATATGTCCCCCCTTCAGGTATTTTTTATTACATTCGAGTCTGATAAATTTGTGTAGCCCACACTGTTTATTTTTTTGAGCTTAAACTAAAGCATTCGTTGCTTTATTATTTCTACACTGCACAAATTTACAGAATATTTGTTATTCTGTCATAACATTCATAGATACTCTTTTTAAAGCTATCAATGATTGAATGGAAGTCCTGGTGAGTTGAACATCAAAAAGTCTCATATATGAAGTACATTCGTTGTAATGAATATATACGTTATATTCACAGGCCAATAATTCTAATCGATTGAAAGTAAGTTCATAAGTTGAATCTGGTTATTTCCTTCGCCTTCATAATCTGAAAAGATTATGTAAGCAAATTTGAAAAGATTTGCTTATGTTTCTATGAATTGACGGTATTTATCAAAGATAATTCATTTCGAAGTATGATGTAAATGCTCCTTATTTTCATCATAAGGGAGAGTTATTATCGCAAACGAATGAAGATTTTCTGAGTCATTTCTGAAGATCGGGGAAGATATTCAAGTTTGAAAGGAGTTGACGGATAATTGATGATAATCGCTGAAGATTATTGTGCTGCAATGTTCAAGGGGGGGTGAATGTGTAGATCCTTTCTGTAAAGAGTTTGATGTTCTTTAAAAGGGAAGATTATTCACATGCTGAAAAGTATTCCTAATCAAAGGGGAGATCGTTTGAAGATTATTAAAGATACATCTTACACGTGGCCTACTTGACTTTAATCTTCAATCTTGAGAAGTAACTATGATCAGATTGATTAAGTATATGTGAGATTCCAGATCTCTCAATCTATGAATAAATGTAAGAAAATTAGTATGTTGAGGAAGATAATCTATTCCTTGGTCATCAGGAATACATGAACAACTATGAATGATCAAGAACAACAAGAACAGTTGGAAGTCATCATCATCTTCGTTGATATTGATAGAGAGAAACTTCGAATGCAAATTGAAATGAATTACACACAATAGTAATCAAAGTTGAGTAGGTGATATTGGATTAGCTCTTGGGATTTATAGAGCTTAGTCTGTCAAAACTAGTAGAAGGCTTAGGTTCTTATTTGATCCAATAAAGTCAGAATACCATTCCTAGTTTAGGCTTGAATAAATAAGGTAGCCCACTTTCATAAAGGCTTAAATTGGAGTTGAGCACATGCACCACTGGATTGCTTGGGGCAGCATTTGTAAATCCATGAACCCATGCTCTGAAAAGATCATGCATGAGATGAAGCATTAGGTTGTTTTTTGAAGCCGCTACCAACAAGTATGATCCCCCTAGAACATAGCCAGGGTGTTTATAACACGACCCAAATAGGCCATGAGCGGTCACTCAGCGGTAGAGTGTCACCTTTGAACAACTATTTATAACCTTCTAGAGAACAAAGTCAAGGGACTGACGAATCACAACCTACCATATGTAAAGTTGAATAACTGTCTCTAGATGGCATGTCCAATTAAGAGCCTCCATGTGTCAGTTTGTTAGGCATGAGCTGACTGGACAAAAACTGATGACTTAAGCATTTCATCAACATCTAAAGACCAGAAAGGGTTCCAGAGAGGCTCTGTTCATAGACCAGACGGACTCTTCATCGGTGGGTAATCATTAGGTTAGGCATCTCTTGTTCGTCATTGTCTATCTTTTGTTTGTCTTCATCAGGTCTCTAGTCTTCAACACTTGAACATTTTACAATACTTTTACATATAAGAATTCTGAAGACTTTAACACTTAGTCTTTTTCTTCACTTCTATTCTCTGGAAACATTAGTTCAGACTTAATGTTGAACTCTGGAACCATTCACTCAGAGTTATGCCCGAACTCTTAATTAACTTTGATATCAAGTCTTCAGACTTCTAACACTTATAAAAATTATTCACAATTTTGAACCAACTTCATATTTTTACACTTATTATCAACAAAAAGTTAGGTTACCAGTCATCAGCTAGCTTATCAGCTCGTTTGTCAAACATAACCTTACATTATAAGGTAACAATTAGTAACTAAAATAGATTGTTGGTAAACATTTTTTTAGCCATAAAGGCTTACCAGTAAGGATCTTTTTCTTCACTTATCGAGTAAGATTTTTTGTCTTTGCCGTGTCATGTACGAGGTAAGATTCTAACTTCTTGCATATCCATCCGAAAGGTAAAGTGACACACACCCTTAAGAACAAGTATTTGAATCCTGTTCTTTTAACAAATAAAATTTTACAATTTTTTTGAAACCTATTAAATAGTATCTTCTTGTCAAGAAAAATAATTTGTAACCTTCATGCAAGTATTTGAATCCTTTCTTTTAACAAATAATTTTTTACAATTTTTTGAAACCTATTAAACAGCATCTTCTTGTCAAGAAAAATGATTTGTAACCTTCATGGATGGTAAAAATTAAAATTTAAAAAAGTTAAAAAATTAAAACCTAATTAATAAATCAACTAAACACGATCGAAACCATCACCCTTGCCCCAATTGCATTACGGTCACCCCCATTCGGCCCCCATCGCATTCCCGTAGACCACGTCTCCCGCCACGTCTTCGTCGTCTCTGTGTCTGCCCAGACCTATCTCAGGTTCGATTTTGTCCACATTTACCCATCTCAGATTTTGATTTTGTCCAACATGAACATTTAATCTCGGGTTCAATCTTGTCTATATGGTAGTAGAGTGCTGAGATTGCTGCAAAAAAAAAGCATTTGATGACTTTCAGAGTATGTAGCTTATTAGCAAATCCTAATTAATAACAATGATAAGAATGGAAAAGAAACATGTACCTTATCTTTTTTTCTTGTTCTTTTTGTTTAGTTTGACAGGCTTCACATTCATTTCTTCATGTTCTTCAATCATAACCACCAACATTCAGAGCCAATTTAGAGACAAACATAAACAATAAATAAGAGTGCACCAAGTATACATATAAAGCAAAACATTTAATGTAGAAATAGATTTGATTCTTAAGTTTTGTTTCGCATATATAGAGGCACCAGAACTCACATCTACCAAGGCCGGCCCTGGCCATAGGACCAGAGGGCGACGGCCCAGGACAGCATAAACCGGCATCAAATCATAAAGCGTAATGTGTATATATATGTGTTCAGTTTTCAATTGGGCCTATGAATATTGCCGTTTCCATTCGTCCATCAACCTCCCTCACGGCTCACTCCCTCGCTCCCGCCTCTCGCTCTCGCCTCACAGAACTCCCAACAGAAATCGATTTAGTTCACGATTCACGAATCGAAATCGCAATCGCAATCGGCAGTTGACACAATCGGCTCTCGCTCTCTGCCTCTCTCGACCATTGACTGCCGTCTGCGGCTGCCTCTCTCGACTATCGCCTGCTCACTGTCGTCGCCCGTCTGCCTCTCTCTTGTGAGTTGTGACTTGTGAGGTTAGGGACTTAGGGTTATTACTTATTTACTTTACTTATTTTATTTTTTAAGTTTCTAATTTGATTGCAAAACCTAATAATGAAGCTGTGAATTTGGT